CTGCGTTACAGCTCCCCCAGCAGAGGATAGTCTGTAATGCACCTGTCCCCTGCGTTACAGCTCCCCCAGCAGAGGATAGTCTGTAATGCACCTGTCCCCTGCGTTACAGCTCCCCCAGCAGAGGATAGTCTGTAATGCACCTGTCCCCTGCGTTACAGCTCCCCCAGCAGAGGATAGTCTGTAATGCACCTGTCCCCTGCGTTACAGCTCCCCCAGCAGAGGATAGTCTGTAATGCACCTGTCCCCTGCGTTACAGCTCCCCCAGCAGAGGATAGTCTGTAATGCACCTGTCCCCTGCGTTACAGCTCCCCCAGCAGAGGATAGTCTGTAATGCACCTGTCCCCTGCGTTACAGCTCCCCCAGCAGAGGATAGTCTGTAATGCACCTGTCCCCTGCGTTACAGCTCCCCCAGCAGAGGATAGTCTGTAATGCACCTGTCCCCTGCGTTACAGCTCCCCCAGCAGAGGATAGTCTGTAATGCACCTGTCCCCTGCGTTACAGCTCCCCCAGCAGAGGATAGTCTGTAATGCACCTGTCCCCTGCGTTACAGCTCCCCCAGCAGAGGATAGTCTGTAATGCACCTGTCCCCTGCGTTACAGCTCCCCCAGCAGAGGATAGTCTGTAACGCATCTGTCCCCTGCGTTACAGCTCACCCAGCAGAGGTTAGTTTGTAACAACTGAACTATTAACTCACTTAACCCACTTCCTCCACTGAATAAATAAATCAAAAAGGTTATTGCGACTTTTTATCTCACAATTCTGACTTTTTTATGACTTTATAACACGCAATTGCGAGTTATAAAGTCAGAATTGCGAGATATAAACTCTAAGAAAAAAGTCACAATTTCGAGAAAAAAAGTCAGAATTGTGAGTTAAAAAGTTGCAATAACGTTTTATTTATGTTTTTATTCAGTGGCGGAAACGGGCTTCCATGAGTGTTATTTGTAGCAGACAAATGTGGCTCTGGTTCCTGAAAGTTTGAGAGATCAAGCACAAACAACCCCAGAGTTACTGATGTTGAAGCTGAAAGTGTTACTACAACGCCTAAAATGATAAGAGACATAATCGATCAGACTGTTCAATGAAAAAAACAAACTCACCGGAGACAGACTCCTCCGTTACAGTAAATCACAGCTGTCAAATGTAATAAACCTGTAAATATAAACGGTGCAACAGACGCAGATCAGTGAGAATCCAAGTTTACTTTCATTTCTAAACGATCAGATGATGAATAACGCTTCATATACGCGTGACTCTGTAAGATGTGTGTGTGTGTGTGTGTGTGTGTGTGTTACGAGGCGCGTGATGCGATTGAACGTGAAGCACATGATGGTTTGTCTGTAGAAAACATCACATGAGGGGAAAGCCTGAAATATGCTGCGCGTTAGATTATGAGAAGAAAGATCATCATTCTGTTCCCGCACTCGACGGATCAACAGCTTTGGGGAATTTTACATTTGAGTTTGCATGCTGTCTTTTTTTATCATTATTAATAACAGTGTTGCATTGGAGTTCAGAGTTCATTTTAACTAGCAAAAGACCAAAAGAGTGACATATTAAGGAAAATGCTTGATATAACTTGCATGTTTGTGAGTGTTAATGCATGGAATTATTTACATGTATGCTGATCTCAACACCCTGATGGTCTCTTACTGACAGAGCGCCACCTACAGGCAGGTCAGGACACCTTCAGTTCATTGATAACTGAGACATCTCAGCTCTGTTTTTGTTTTGAATCTGATGTTAGAGTAGTTTGGTCACGACCCTTTAATGATTTGGTTCTAATCAGCCATAATCAAGTTATGAGCAACATGACTTTTCTTTGTTCTCTTATATTTTTATCTTTAAATGTATCACATCCTTCCTGGTTAGGAAACAATGTTGCATGAAACAGAAACTTCAGTTAATGAGTTTCTGACTCGTTTGCATCTTGGTCTTCTGACAGCATCTAATCCAGCCAATCAGCCGATGGCTCCGGCAACCAGCCCTCGTGTCCAAGAAGAGGAACATCAAGAAATCAATCGAGGACGAAGCTGTAGACCAACCTGCTGAACAGCGTCTTTGGACCGGTATCTCACGCTCTTCTGCTCTCGTGTCAAACTCATCAACTGTTCCTCACTTCAGAACACTTAGAATAAAGCACACAAGTCATGTGTCAAACCTTTAACTTACACATCAAATACAAATATTTCAGTCACACGGATAACTGCGTTTACGTGCTGAGGTGATTATATCGTGTGCTTGTGCTCTCTGAAGCAGGACATGGTTAAACCTGTGCTAAATGAAGACATCTTTGTGGAGAGTTTTGCAGAAAACGTTGAGAAAATTTAAACATGTGAAAAGATGAAATGGATTCATAATTTTAAAAAATGTGTCTTTGTTTTGAGAACTGAATGAATGGTTTGGGAAACTGGGCCAATGAATCAGTTCTAGTGTAAAGTAGAACTGTAAAGCATATTAAAACAGTCATATTAAGACACCATATCACTATATCATATCATTTCCATAATGGAAACCGCGACTGTCTTAATATGACTGTCTCTGGACATTCTGCTGAACGTCTCCTTCTGCACTTTTGACCATTTTATGTACAAGAAATAATTTCTCTTCTGTTGATGGTGTTGCCTCCATGAGTTTCCTCGAGAATCTTGAACACCAGAGCATTTGACCCAGAATGTTCCTTGCTCAGTAGAATTAGTTCAGTTGAACAGACTTCTGTTCTATTAGTGTCATTTTACACCTCACAAACCGAGCAGAAATTAGGTGAATTTAGGAGAGTTCAGTCGATTTCCTCTCAGACTCACCAAACCTGTTCTATCCATGTTTTCTTCTGCTTCAGCGCACACGAGTCACTTCAGCAGTTACAGTTCCTGTGAGTATAGCAAAGAACAAACATCTTCCTCAGAGTTTCCTCCTCACAGTCTAAAATCAGAGAAAATATCAATGGAAGGTTTAATTATCATACGCTTTAACCCTTTCAGACAGAGAGACAGAATATCTGATTAAATCATTAGAATTTTCCAGACACGAGCAGTGTCTTCACTACATTAATGCTGTTTGATTGTTAGTAATGACACAGACAGCAGCAGGTCTCTATTGGCAGCTTTTAACCTGAAAAACTTTCGCAAAGGTTTTGACAGTTTGACACAGCATCCTAAAAATGTTTCCTCGTACGCGAGACGATGCAGAAGACACAAGTGCAATGATCAAAGACGTCTGTCTAGCACATTTAAACACAAGATGACGTTTAGACGTTTAACACTGGACACTAGACAAGGGAAAACACTGGGCTAAGTAACTGGAACTAAACGAGGGAATTAACAAGACACAGCTGAATCAAATGGAACTCAATGGGAACAGGAACAGGAAGAACCAAATATGGGCGCATAGAAACACGGGAGAAACTGGGTCATGGGGCACATTGGGAACAAAACACAAGACAGGAACACAGGGGCAGTCAATGGGCGTGACAACATGCACCAGCTGATTTTTTGTACCCATGCGTAACAGACAGCCGCATTGACAAGCGTTTGTGTGAGGGGTTATGAGAGAGCAGCAACTTTAGTTCAAAAGAGTACAAAGATTTTTTATCGGTTATCCACCTTTTTGTTGTCGTAAAAATGGGTTTTTGGAATTTACCCATTTGTAAATTCTATGGGTCTAGCTTCCGGTCTCATACGCGTCCAGCTATTTTTAGCTGTACAAAACAGTTCATTTTGCTGCTTGATATTGAAAATGGGTGTGTCTTATCATATTATTTTAATGTATTATTTTAGTTATGAACACACTGGTTTGTAGTGCAGTTTTACGGTTTACTGCACGTTGTTATTCTCCTCGTTATTTACCTAAGGCAGCTAATGAACCGGAAGTCTCACCCATAGACTTACTTCTGCGTTAAAGAAAAAAGTGGATAACTTCTGGAGAAAAATAGCGCAGACACTGGACAAAGATGAAGCTTTCTAGAGCGTATGTGTCGACTGTATGCATACGCCAGCGTACATGAACAAAAACAATGCATACTTTTGGGCTTAAGTTCTCATGTTCAGGCTTGGCATCATGATTTTGTAGTTTTTGACTCACCTGTAATTTTGAGGTCTTCACTGCCACATGAACTTTCTCCACTCACATCACTGTGCAGCATAACACACCCTCACTCTCTGCTGTATAAGTTACTCTCTATATGACCATATATAACATAATCCTACACTGCCTGGCCAAAAACAAGTTGCACACTCTTAATATTTAATTAAAACACCTTTAGATTTGATAACATTGTGCTTTGGTTGTGGCATTGTTTCACCAACCTCATGCAACATCACAACATTTATTTCCATCAAGAGTTGCATACATTTTTGGCCCAAGGTCTTGTAAACTGATTTTAGCTGGAAAAATTACTCTTTGTTATTGTCTTCTTGCATCAATTATGAATATCTCTTAGTTTTATAAAAGAAATGTATTTCAAATAAATACCCCAAAGTGCAACGATCATCCATAAAAAGTGTTTGGCCGAGGCACCTTTACAAAAGCCTTAACCAAACATTTCACACATCATGTTGCTCCATCAGTAAACAGTCAAATTAAATGCAAATATGTTTGGTATATCATATTTTTGAACCAGGAAAAAAATGTAACGTTCCTAAAGGATAAAGTCTTTTAGCCATGTAGTAGCGCCATTAAGGGCCGAGCAAATCAGCAAATCTGCATTTACATCAATTCATGTAGCAGATGCTTTTATCCACAGTGACTTACAAATGAGGAAAGAGCCAACAATAACTACAGTACACAGCATCAGGTTTAGAACAGAGACTGGGATATAGTATATGGAATAGTGGTTTTAGTAAGTTTCTTTATGTTTGTGTATTAGTTGAGTGCTTGAGAAAGATGAAGACTGTAAAAATAATTCCTCTCTGTAGACAGAAGATGAATGTGCACCATTTATTCAGTTAAATGATTCCATTCTTTAGTACAAAGTGAATACAAGTTAAGTAGGCTATATTCTACCGGATTTGACTGCATGCACATACACACATACACATTATACACAAGTATTTATATCACCCATAAATATATATTCAGGAAAGATTAGATGTGCAGCACTGGATTTGGTCTTTTTATGTGATACTGTAGGATTGTTGTGGTATCTTGACTTTTGTTGAACTGATGGCATTGCATTCAAGCTGCACACTTTATCAGAGGTCTTCAGACCTGCTCCTGCAAAGTTTAGGTTTAACCTGCTGCAGAAATGAGTTTTTTGTAAGCTGCTTTTTATCACTTAATTAGAAGCACTGTTACATCATCTGTTACATGAACAGACATGCAGAAACTTATTACAGACACTATAACATCAGGAAATCAAAGGTTCTACAGCAGAGACGGGCAACAACACTAGTCCTGCAGAGTTTAGACAAGCATAGCTCCGTCCTAAATCAAACACACCTGCCTGTAATTCTCTAGTAATCCTGAAGACTTCGGTTAGATTGGGATCAGAGCTAAACTCTGCAGGACGGCGTTGTCCATCCCTGTTCACACACACTTGACCAAATACCTGAAACACATCATGTAAGTAGGCTGGGACTCAAACTCATGAAGATTAGTGTTTTTGTGCTCATACTGTACGTCCAGATTAAACACACTGGATTAGTCAGTCAGGCGTCTGAGCTGTTATTGCTCAGTAAAGGTTGACTGGATTGAGCTGATTCTACAGGTTATGGATCATCACTGGACTCTACAGCTGATTCTGCAGGTGGTTCTGCAGTTGATTCTACAGGTTTTGGACAATCCAGGATTTTAAGTGGACTCAGATCACCTGCACCAGGATTGAAGAGAGGAACGACTGATCCAGAGAATCTGCTGCTGATGGTCAGGAGATGTTTACTCTCTGTGACGTTGTAAAATGCCAGCAGACCCTCATCATAATCGAACAGAACTCCCAGTTGTTCAGGTCTCGGTGTCAGTGAGAGTTTAACTGGTGGATCCGTGTTGATGTGAAAGCCTTGAGGACCGTCTGAACACAAGAACCAGAAACCAGCTGATGGAGTTAAAGCAGATCTGTCTCTTGCAGTAAAATGTCCATGTTTCACCACACCGATTAACCAGTAGTTTTTGGGAGCTGTATTTGTTTGTACCAGCTGTACCTCCCAATAGTGACGACCAGAGGTGAATCTTTGGGCTCCGAATGCACATAATTCAAATGGAAATCCCTCTCCAGTGTGCTGATAATCTTTACTGTCCCTCACGGTTTTACAGTCCTTAGAAAGCGTCAGATCTGGATGTAAACGCTCACGGTCAATAGTGATCTCAACTGTGAGGAATAAATACACGAGCAACAGTTATTAATCCTCATGTATGAGATGATGTTTACACATATGATGAAATATATGAATACATAACTGAGATGATGTCATACCTGCATGTTTCCTCAGTTCTTCTATATTTATGTCTCCCACAACTACAATGAAAATATATATAATTTGTGAGTAAAAACTACAGCTATAATTGAAAACTTCTACAGTATTTATATACAACAGAAATGAGTCTGTTATGGAAAGTAAATAACAGTAATAATGATAAGTGAATAGTTGTGTGACAGTGGGAGTGTCACACAAGATGCTCTTTATTCTGATGGAATAACTGATGAAATATAATAAATGATGTGATAAACTGTAAAAAATACCAAGCATTTTCACTGATGCTTTCAGATCTCTGCATGTCACTGTGTGAAATAAACTGGTTAATAAATATATTTGGCTATAATTGTTCTTGTTGTGAAATGACGTGTGTGTGTAGAGTTCAGTGTATTTCCACTCACAGCTGCAATATTCCACTCAGCCTCACCAAACATGTCATATTCATGTTACTGTCTGCTATAACATACATGAAGATGTTTATTTAACGATTAGTGAAGCTTTTCAGCAGTTCTTGTAAAACATAGCAAAGAACAAACGTCTTCAAATACCTTCTTTTCTCAGTCTCTCCAGAGTTTCCTCCTCACGATCTGAAATGAGAGAAAGTTTAATTATCTGCTTCACAAATACTCCAGACTCTCTAAACCACATTACATTACAGTTTAACCTCTCAGACATTGACTGGCATAAAAACACAGACTTCTTTAGCTGTCTCAGAAACAGGCATGTTCTCCCAGTAACACGGTCTGAAAGGGTTCATCAGATTCATGAATAAGTTCATGTCACTTACCTTCTGTAGCTGGTTTCTTTCCTGCAGAACAGATCAAAAATATCAACACATGAGATATGCATGAAACAAAAACCTCCTGAAAACCACATCTTTAAAATCTTTCAGCCAGATTGTACCTGTTCGTTTCTCTCTGTATTTGTAGAGGATCAGCCCAACCAAACCCAGAAGAGCACAGATGAGAACGGAGAAGAAAAGAGCCATCCATGGACCTGATGAATCTGAGAATAAACCCCTCTCTGGAGTGAAATATATCATAATAAAATATATAGCAAAATATAGAAATTATAATAATTACGTTAAAAAAAATCAACTTTTCCTGAAATGAACTATTCCTTTAATAAGGTTTAGATTGAATTGTAGCTTTTGACTCACCCGTGATTTTGAGGTCTACTACTTTGCTGTCATATTTTCTGTCTCCACTCACTTCACAGTGAAATGAATCTTCATCCTGAAATGTGAGTTTCTCCAGCTGTAGAGAGACGTCTCCATCCTTCAGTCCACCAGACTGATCTGACCGCAGAGCCAAAGAGCTTCGGTTCCTGAAACATTCCTGGACGTCCTGGAGCTTCCCATCGCGATAGAAGACAATGGGGTTGTTGAACTGATCGTGACGGTACCAGCGGATCTCCAGAGCTTCAGCGTTCTCAGGAGGAGAGATCCAGCAGGGAAGAATCACTGTGGATCCCACATGAGCCGCTATAGGATCACCAGGAACCACTACAGTGAATGACACTGAGAGAGACAGAGAGACACACACTCAGTGAAATATACAGTGCATTAGTATTTCATCAAATTGATGATTGGTCTTTCTGTTAGTTCCACACACAATGCTATGCTTGCGATCATCTGCTGTACCGTTGTCTCCGACCGAGGAAATGCTTTACAATAAACGTCCTTTAATGCAACTAACATTAACAATAGACTATTTGTTAACGTTTATAGGTAATAAAAATACAGCTGTTCGTTGGTATTTTTGTTAGCTCAGGTATGAATGTTTACTTTTAATTTTAATAATGTATTAGTAAATAAAGAAATTAAAATGAATGTTAATCAATGCTTTCGAAGTAATGTATATTAACCCTTTGTGCTGTATTTTCTGTTGGCAATTTGACATGCATGCAGTTTTCATACCCTACACTTCGCCAACCACTGAAACATTTCTGGCCTCGGCCCTGAATAAAACGAGGCAGCAGTTTACTGTCTGGGATTTGACGTGTTGCGCCGCACCGCTTCCAGTGTAGACATCACTGATTGTTATGGATTCTAATGTATTTCGTCACGCAGCGCCGTCAAGACTGTGGAATTTGCGAATTCGCCGCTTGAATTCTGTGCTTCATACATCAATAAACTATTGACTACAACTGATGAGGGCTGAGTTTCCCGATAACGATTGATCTTAGCGCTTAAGAGCGTTTTCTACGAGTCATTTTATGATCGTTCATTATTGTTTCATGTGCATTTCCCAAAAATGCACTTAACACAATCACACGTAGCCGTGCTTTAAGTGCTACTTAGGAGTCGCTATCCATTTGTCAAATGCTGAAAGGTCACCTTATAGCTCGTTTATTGAAATGTTAACCTAATGCTGCGTTCCAGACAACTCAGATATAATAACTATAATACAATATTATTATATTATATTATACTTTACATAATAATATACATCAAAGCAGTTTCATCACAATTTCACCATCCAGTTAGGCTCATCAACCATAACTCCTTCAAAAACAGCCAGAAACCTTGGAGTTGTGATTGATGATAAGCTGAATTTCTCAGATCACATTGCTAAAACTGTCCGGTCCTGCAGATTTGCTTTATACAACATTAGGGAGATCAGGCCCTTTCTTTCAGAGCATGCTTCACAACTCCTTGTTCAAGCTCTTGTTCTGTCCAGACTGGACTATTGCAATGCTCTCTTGGCAGGTCTTCCAGCCACTTCTATCAAACCTCTACAATTAATCCAGAACGCGGCAGCAAGAAACATTTTTAATGAGCCGAAAAGAAAGCACGTCACACCTCTGTTCCTCAATTTGCACTGGCTACCAGTAGCTGCTCGCATAAAATTCAAGGCATTAATGTTTGCCTACAAAACCACCACTGGCTCTGCACTCCTTTACCATAATTCATTACTTCAGAGTTATGTGCCTCTGGAAGCTTGCGTTCTGCAAGTGAACGTTGCTTTATTGTGTCATCTCAAAGAGGCACAAAATCACTTTCACAGACTTTTACATTAACTGTTCCCTCCTGGTGGAATGACCTGCCCAACTCAATCCCAGCAGCTGAGTCCTTAACCATCTTCAAGAAACGTCTAAAAACACATCTGTTTCATCTTTATTTGACCCTCTAACTCTAGCACTTTCTATTCTAATTTAATTCTTTAAAAAAAATTCCGGGTCCAATACATTGCTGGTTTTCGTGCAAGTCAGCAAGTCATTGACAGATCCCCCCCAGTCTTTACGAACTTCTTATGGTGTGTTCACTCGCGGGATGTTTTTTGTGTCACTCGCACGAATAAAAACAGCACAATCAACCATTGTGGAGATAACTACAATCGCCGTTTTGTACCTGTTGTTAAAAAGTCTCAGATACAATGGAAAGCCAAACGCCGACGTGTCTGGGTTCACAGCACCATCCAGAGGAGGATGAATAACGTTAGGATCCTGTATTAATGTGTGTGTTACATTTTACTACTGTATATATACACTGATATTACTACTATTTTTATTATTGATGGCAGCATCTCTGTAGCCATGCTAATAAAATACAAGTACCACTACAACTGATTTTAACTGTTTTCTATGCTCCAGATCTATATAACAGACATCTGCAATAATGCTCTCTTCTATTGTCTGATTCAACTGGACGTGTCAAGAAGCTCTTCGCTGTATGTCGCTAGACTCCGTGCTGTGAAGACACTTGTGGGCGTTCCTACTGCTGTAGCTCTAATGTTATTGGCAGACTGCACGTCTGGACATATAAAATGCAATCACAAACTGTATATTGCTGGTAAACCTAAGATATCATTCTATTATGACTAGTGTAGTATTGAGCGCTCTGGTTAAGTGGGGTGGGGGGAGGAACTATGGGCTATTTAGACACTTACACACATGGAACAACTTAAGTGATGCACAGAACAATGAAATGCGGTGAGAACGTCACACATAAATTGTGATAGGGTGAGTAAAATCGTAATTTGAGGGGCTTTTTTGGGTGACAACGGGAATATTGTGCATGGGTTTAAAGATGTGTATTTATAGATTTGGTGTGCGCCTTGAGAATCTCAGCGACTATAGCGGCTGAATTTGAATATGATGTTAACAGGCATGTAGGGCTGCAACAACGAATCGATTAAATCGATAAAAATCGATTACTAAAAGAGTTGGCAACGAATTTCATAGTCGATTCGTTGTGTCGCGCGACGCGGAGACGTTTGATTATTAAAAAAAAAAAAACTTTAGTTGAGCGCGGAGCGGCGTGAACACACTCGGTCTCTCTCGCGCCCTGATGCTAGCAGAGTTCGGCGCCTCATATAGGCCCTGTCCCAAATGGCGCACTTCATGTGGACTTTCGGTCTCGTGGACTTAAATTGCGAGTCCGTAGCCCGTCCCATTCAGCATTTTAACACTCTGAAGTGTGCTCAGCAGCACCCCCTTTGTACCCTTGAAGCGGTCTTCCGCGAAGCCCGCATAGAAGCAGGCTCCGCACACTTTAACTACCCAGGAATCTTTGCGAAATGCCAATCAGACAACGGATGGGAGATTTCGCTCAAGAGCAATTGATGACATGGCTGAGAAGAAAATATTTAAGTGTAGGTATCATTACGGTTTTTATGACCTAGGTGTACATTTTACCAGTTGTTACCTACAGTTTATACAAACATTATGGTCATCGACCAGTGGTTGATATCTCAAACATAATAATAGCGCGTTGAATAATACGATCGCATTATGATTCATTAAATAAATAGAACCGAATGTCAGGGCTTTACTGAGTCATATGTAAACCTAGTATATTTAAACCTGTAAATTCATCTGAAGCGAAGCTGAGGATGTCCACAGCCAAGTGAGGAACGAAGTCCTCACATACTTTGGAGAAAAGAGCCTTGCCAAGGAAGAAAACCCATTATTGTGGTGGAAGGCTAACAATGAAAGATATCCCATGTTGGCCAGGTTAGCCAAGTCTTACCTCTGCATCCCTGCCACCTCAGCACCATCTGAGCGGCTGTTTTCTGCAGCAGGCAACATAGCCTCAAAGAAAAGAGCGAGCCTGAGCCAGGAGCATGTGGACATGCTCACATTTTTGCATTGCAATGCAAAGTGTCTGAACAAAGGGAGTGAGAGAGAGTAAGTGTAAGTGTGTGTGTGTGTGTGTCAGTGTGAGAGTTTGTGAGTGTGTGTGTCTGCGAGTGTGTGCGTCTGCAGTGTAGTGTAGAGAACAAGTTCTGACATTCAAACAAATCCTGTTAAATTTTCTGATTTGTACTGTTCTTTATTTTTTATAAATTATTTATTGTTCTGGCAGCTCAGGTGGCACTTTATTTAAAAAAAAAAAGTATATATATTTGGCAGATGTAAAGCATACATGTGTATGTTTTTTGTGTAAGTCCATTTTTATTTTATTTTATTATTATTATTATTATAACAGCTCAGGGATGTTCAAGGAGCAACATGTGTGTGCACTTTCTAAAGATTTTAGTTCTGTTTTTGAATAAAGGGTTGGAAATGAATGCTTTTCTTGCTTTTTTGTTTTTTATCCGATTCATCGATTAATCAAAAAAATAATCGACAGATTAATCGATTATTAAAATAATCGTTAGTTGCAGCCCTACAGGCATGAAATGTATTTGAAGTTATTTATGAATGATTTAAATGTGTTTTATGTGATTTACCTTTAAATATTGTGTATGGGTTTACATGTGTATATTTGTAGATTTGATGCACTCCCATGAGAACCTCAACGACCAGAGTGGTCAGAATTGAATATTGCTGTGCTAACGGGTATGAAGTGTATTTTAAGTTATTTTGGAATGATTATTGAAAAGGAATTGATTTAGACGTGCTTTATGTGATTTGACTTTGTTAAGATTTGATTGAACATCAAATTCCATTGTTAGATGATGTTCCAGTTTATCAAAGGTATAGGAGACTACCACCTAGTCAATATGAGGAGGTTAAGGCTCATATCAAACAACTGTTAGAGCAAAATGTAATTAGGGAGAGCTGCAGCCCATATTCATCACCGATTGTGATTATAAAGAAGAAGGATGGATCTATTCGGATGTGCGTGGATTATAGGCAGCTGAATGCCAAAAAGAGACGAGATGCATACCCACTGCCCAGGATTGAAGAATCTTTGGATGTTTTGAGTGGAGCCTGTTGGTTTTCCACTTTAGACCTAGCAAGTGGGTATAATCAGGTGGCAGTGGCCGAGAAGGATAAACAAAAGACGGCTTTTTGTACACCATTTGGCCTGTTTGAATATAATAGTTTACCGTATGGCCTATCCAATGGTCCAAGTACCTTTCAACATCTAATGGAACGCATATTCAGTGATGAAAGCTTTCAGTCAGTGCTTTTATACCTGGATGATGTAATTGTATTCTTATCAACAGTGGAGCAACATTTGGAGAGACTGGAGAGAGTCCTGCAACAATTTCAGCATCATGGTCTTAAGGTCAAGCTTAGCAAATGCTGTTTCTTCCAAAAAGAGGTACGCTATTTAGGCCATGTCAT